GCTTGTCTTAGGTGGTAAACTATCTGTTCATCAAATTCAGCGAACTGTAATATGAACTATTGCATATTGTGTAATACTAACAGCAAATGCTTAATTGAACTAACATGATAGTGTAAAAAAAATTTAAAAAGTGACAGGAAGGGGGGGGGGAACAACAAGAGAGGAAGCATCTGTATGTCAGAAGATGTGGAGAATTGCAGGCGCATAATTGAATAAAACAGAAGGATGTTCACGACCATGAATCTCATTATGCAAAGAGATTACTGGGCCTAGACTGATAAGAACTCTGCAAACTCAGAGGATCATCACATTCCAAGCTACACCGTGAGGAGGACCTACGGCCTTCCTCCCAGAAGACCACCCCCCCCGATTTGAAGACCCCTGACCGTAGATTTAACAATTTCTGCGCAAGCGTAAAGAACTGATAAGCTAATTACCATACGAAGCGGGAGTAGGCGGGTTCAAGTAATGAATATGTATAGCTGTATAATGACTATGTAATACTTTGTAGTATAAGAGTGACACACAGTGCCCTGGAGGGTGCGGTCTGCTGTTGGAGCAGGAGACTCCCCGGCCGCCCAGCGCTGTTTTGCTTGTTGCCGCTTGCTAAATAAAGAAATTGGGAACTCTGACTCAGCCGATTTTAAGAAGTCAGTTTATAACATGCTTTTCTGGCCAGGGAACCCGCAATGCTCTGTGATGTCTCTGCATTTCATTTTCCTGGTGGGAATCTTTTCCCTGTCATTTTTACACACTTCCCTCTTCAACCTCGGATCCTTTTGACCCGCCCGAAGTCGGATCCTGAGGTGCCTGTGGAAGGTACCAGCCCCCTCTAATGACGGACGGTGCCAGCGAGGCTCGACATCATCACCGCGATATACAGCACAACGCTCTAAAGCTGTTTGGTTTGGGTTGTTTTTTGTTTTCCCTTCCCTCCCCTGCAAAGACACTGGAAATGCAGTTTCCCTGCAGAAGGAGGGGCGGCGGGAGAAGCGCTGCCAGCCCCCCCCCACCGCGGCGGCAGCCCCCTTCCCGCCCGGCCTAAGGCGCATGCGCG